TTCACGAACGAAAATTTAAAGCATTCATTAATTTTTCTGATGGTTACGTAGATTATACACTTCAGAATTTCTGGATTCACTTTTAAAGTCGAAAGAATATTATTATTTTTATTATTGGGAGTATATTTGATTCGGAATTTTATATCGATAAATTACAAGGGAGGCTAAACAGATTTAATCTTGTCTGTATCGAGGGAAGTTAATCAATGAACAGAATTTTTCTCTTTCGCTTCATTCTTTGCATTTACTTGGCTGATGAGATTCCACTATCAACTTGTGCCCTCTGTTACTATGTTATTGGAATTTGTTTAAAGAAGAAGGAATAACAAGGTTTTAAACTTTTTCCAAAAATTAAAGCGATAATACGAATTCATTAAGTCCAGATTAGCACTTGTAACAAGATAATTAATGGGCCGTATTTTATTGGAAACTAAAAATAATTATCTCAGTAAAGTATGAATTTTGAATAAGTGGAAAACTTAGTAAATGTTTGCTTTTAAAATTACGAAGTTTTTAATTTTCTGTTTTAAAAGTAAAGAGTTAATAACCCGTGATTCTGCTCGATCTCGATAACGATTTATCACGCAAGCCACAATAAGGAAGCCTCTAGCGGTTCTCCATTTTTAATTCTAAAAGTGAAACTTTAGAGTTGTTTTTACCAACTAATCTTTATGTCAAGTAAAGCCAAAGTTCAATAGAAATGCTTAATTTTTTTTTCTTTTCTTTTTAAAATCGAACTCCTAATAAGATTTATTACTTTAGTATTAACGTTGGATCGTCAATCACTAACATTTGCACCTTACTTCGCTCGCATTCTCATTAAAATGCAAACAAACAACAAGCGAAAAAGTATATAAAAGAAACTTATAAATAGAGAGCAGTATTAAAATTTAAATAAAGTTTGCATAAATATATCCATCTCATAAATTTTCTTTTATCAGTTTTCTTAAGAGCATCTGCCTTTTACATTCTTTTGATGTGACAAAGCTCACATGTTTGAATTTATTTCAAATAGATAACTAATTAAGTCATTAATTTCAATGAAACTAATTTACCTAACAATTTGAGAATGTTGAATTTAAATAATAATAATAAGCAAAATTGTTATTGCTATTCAAAATATTTTCCTTTGCTTTAAATCGCGAATTCCTTAAAATTGTTTTTCTAAAGATTTTTTTAAAAAACGAACTTTTTTTTTCTAAAAGAAGAAAAAGTTATTTTTTTATCAAAGAAAAATTTTTCTTCCCTGTTAAAGGATTTTGAAACAATTTCAAGAATTTTCAGTTTATTATATTATTTTTTCGATTGTTTTTAGCGGTAGCACCTTTTGATCATTCTCTAAACATGTTCAAGTAATGAATTCTTTCCTCATCTGTTCGACTACTTTGAAAAATTAGTAAGTATTGATATTAGAAAATTTTGATAGTGAAAGTTATTAAGACAAAAACGTAATCCTTTGTAACATGTTATTTAAAATTTTATGTAGTTTCCATAAGAAGAAAGTCTGTTGGAAAAAAAAGGAAATTACACTCTCGGCCAAATTTAAATCATTAATATTTATAGAAGAAAAAGAAAAGAAAAAGAGAAAGTTCTTAATCAAGAGGGAAAAGACATTTCAATTCTCATTTGCAATCAACCATACTTCTCTGCTAAGATATAAGTAAGAATTGTAATTACGACAGAAGCATTGTTTGTGAGGTAACATTCTCTAATATCAAAGTCAACGGCCATCGTCACCTCCAAAAATAAGATTGCTGTTAAAGAAAGGATAGAACTCTTGAAAGACATTCGATTAAAGACATCTCGCTCTCCACCGGGAAACATTACCATGGCAGAATCATAATGGAAACTTCCATTACTGAGAATGGAAGATACAACATCTAAAGAAATAGTTTTTCTAGTTGGTCTGACTTTAGAACACTTTTCTACTTTTATTGATGAGAATATATTGTTTGCCAAAAATAAGTATTTATTCGGATTTTATTTAAGATACAGAAAATAAAGAATTTGATAGGTCGTTAATCTTCTGTCTAATTATAAACTAGACTTAAAAGTAGTGACGGTTGTTGGTTATTTTAGATACCAGGATGCAAAGTGTGACGTTCTTTGGCAGAAATTTAAATTGATCTCGGTAATGTGAGTATGGTGAATGGGATTGACCCACGGTTCGGTTCGATATCTCTTTCCGTTTGAGAGTTTAACAGTGAGATTTCTGATAATACATCAATGTCCGCGAAACAATGTTGTCAGCCATGAGATATTTCTCGCAGAATCTATCCATCTCATCCTTCAGAATGTTCTCTTTTTACAAAATGCATGGATGCAGCAATTTTGCTGGCTCGAGTTCTCATTGTTATGACCATTCGACTTCCTAAATGTTGTCTGAATTTTAATTAAACTTATATTTAAATGTATTGAACGTCCGAATGCAAATGATCACAATAGGACGTCGAAAGAGAAAGTAAGTTCCATAGACACTTTATAAACTTCTTAATGATTTAAGGAAAAAAGATTTAGCATTAGAGATAATAACTATGAAAATAGATCAAGTGAATTTTAATGAGAGTTTTTATAGCTACTTTTGCTTTGCTATTCATCTTTGTTGAAATAATAATTGAATAAAATGCAAATATATGTGTTATTGAAACCAGAAAAATAAATAAATACAATAGAATAATCTTATATAGACCTACATTTTAAATTATCGTAAAAAGTTTTTATGTTGTAATATATTATAATATACATTTATTGATTTCAGATACATTTTAATTCTTCCTCTCTACAAGTTATATAAGCTTTTAAATGCAATGTTTTAAAAAAAATAAATTTTAAATAATGCTAAATTTTTATTATATAATTGATATTTCTAAGCTATGGTAATTAGTTCTTCAGTTCAATTCTTATTAGCAAAGCTTTCCTAGGAATATAATAATTTCGAAAAATATTTCTAAACGCAGTCAAGAAAACATAAAATGTACCAAATGAAATCTATTTAACAGTTAAATGAGAGTAGAAGAAGAACATGGCAATTATCTCTTCTTTGTCTGGTCGTAATCATTAGAGCAGTTGGTGTGGATAAGCTTCCCCAGTCAACGACTGCAAAAGATCATTTCAGCTAAAGATCTCTGAACATCGACCGAAACAGCCAGTTGAGGCCTTTTAGTCAATGGCCCACAAAACTGCAGAAATTCTAGATTCTAGAACTAGAAGATCCTCTCCATCTGATAGAGGGATGCCATTTAAAATAAAGTATTATCCTCTCAAAATATCTTATAGGAGAAAATCGCTTTCAACAAAAAACTACTCAATTCTGACGAATAAAACCGATTCTGCTAACAATCTTTTTCTCTTTAGATTCTTTAATGATAAAAAAACAGATCATTTTTTAGAATGGCTATAAGAAGTGGAAGTTCTGCGATGACTCGAAACTTAAATCTATTTCAAATCAAAATCCTTTATCATCAAATGACGAATGTTTCCTATATTGAAACAAATCAGGCACAAAAGAAAGAAATCCTTCAAAAAAGACGAGTTTATAAATTTGACAGGCCTCTTCCTGGCCGAAAGAACTATATCTCACACAGAAAGCCGGCTTCAGATTACTTTTCAAGACAAATGTCTGCCATTTCCTAGCTTGAGAGTAGGATTTTTGCAAATCCTAGAACAGAAGATTAGAGTTGGATACTTTACGTTTCCGAGACCTCCAGTGGCGAACGAATAGAAAAATCTCCTAGTTATCTTGCAACAAACTATCTCCCGTGGATTCGGTCTAATTCCATGTTAATTCTAGTAGCGATCGATAGTCCGAGCAGCTCTTCTGTGGAGCGTTGGGTCAAGGACGCCTATTCTTTCTTTGTTCGTAAGTATAAAAGGCTCACCGAACTTTAAAACATTCGAAATGGGGATTACCAGAATCTCCTTATTACTGGATTGAAGTATATTTATGTAAATAGGAAATCTAAAATCCTACAACATCCTTTATTAACAAATTGGGGTATTTTTAAAAAACATCAAAGCTTTCTTAATACACATTTAACAATCAAGTTGGCATCTAATAAAATTTTCGTCGAGTCTTATCGATAAGAATTTTTATCAGCGACAAAAATTCCGGCGGCACAGCAAAGATAATTAAAATATAAGCCAAGTATAGCCGAAAGACAAAATTTTCTTTGTAAACATAAAAGATTGACGTTAAGTGGTCTTTGTAAATCAAATAAGATTTATACGACATGTAGTCGGTTAGTTTTAACGAACGACTCGTTAATTGAGAGAGCGAGCCTCTATAGGACTGATGCCGCCGTTAGTTTGCCACCCTAATAGTTTTTCTAGTTTTTCGGTTCGAAAATCATCTTGCCGCTTCCCATTTTTCACACAGTCATTTCTCAATCAGGCGGAAGGTATCTGGCTATCTTGATGGTCGAAAACAACAATGCCTCTTCTAATCCGGTGTCATAGTTTGGTGACAAATTGCTCCTCCCTTATACGTTCGTCAATCTATAAGTTGGTCAGTCCTGACTTATAGATCATATTAAAATGGTTTTTTTTTTTTTTATTGTACTTTTGCTCTTCATTGTTATTTTAATTCTCTTACCTTCACTTTTCTAAACATTAAACTATTATTAAAAGAAAAGGTAAGAAACCAACATCATAAACTTTTTTTTTTCTGAAATTAGAAGCTATTTTATTAAATTCTATTTTTGATATTCTTAGTGAAAAGAGAGAAAAAATAAATAAATTTGTATAAAGATAAATTTACAAGTCATCATTTTCTTTTAATACTTATTTAGGAGATTTTATATAAGGACAGAAAAATCATTTAAATGTGAAAATATAATTTTGATCATATTTAGTCATATATTTTAGGCTCATTTTGCATTTCTATTACTGTCATAATATGCTAATTTATGTTTAATTATTAAGTAGAGTATTTTTTATATGATATAATGAATGTTAAAAAATATATTTTGATTTTTAGTTTTAATTTTATTTTATTACTTACAGGAAAGAGAAGAAGAATATGAAAAATCTTTTTTGGAAGAAAGCAATAAAGTAATTATTAATTATATGATATTTTAGAAATAAAGAATTGTAATTAATTTTAAACAAGTTAATTAGTTACACAATATAATATATTTACAGTGAAGTACACATAATTTTTATGTAAATTTTTGTAATGAAGTATTGACACTTAAATAAATCATATTAAGAGGCATATTCTTTTAAATACTTATATAATACTTGTTTTAAATCATTTCCATAAATATAACATTGAATATCTTAAAATTATGAAATTAACTAACTTCAAACAATGCTGAATTATCAGGCTACTTTTGATTAAATTAATGAATAAATTAATAGCTACAGTAATTTGACTAGAGATAGACAGAAGTCTACTCTTATAACCTAACATAGCCCAATAATTCAGCTCATTGTTTGGAATTAATTAATTAAATTGGGTTATGAATTATTATTATTGTTATATATATTATGAAATTAACTGTTTTGACTTTCAATTGTATTAATTAAAATTATTCAATATTTTATTTAATTATTTCTGGAAAATTTTGAATATTTATACAGAAAAAGTGATCTCTTTTATAAATTTGAAAGATTTTATTTGTACATTAATTTGTGCTCAATAGAAAAGTAATACAGGTATACTTTATTTAACAATGTTCTACTTAACAACAGATTGCATATATATAACAGAAATCCCACAAGATTATAATGGAGATGAAAAATTTGTAGCTGCTTGTACCTTTTCTGTTTAGATATATAAATACTTATTTTTGTTACAATTGTTTCACATTCCTTTCATACGCATTAAGCTTTCACACAATTGTTTCACACACAGTCTATACAAATAGTGGCTATACCATATATGTTTATATAAGTACACTCTCTGATGATTATGATTGCTTATTGACTCTGAATTATCTTAACTTCATAATGAAGTTAAGATAATTCAGGATTTTTATAATATCAATATGTAGATGAACATAGCAGCCTGAAATTCTTTTATTTTCTATTAAATTGTTAAATTTGTTCTATTCTTTGTTAAGGATAGTGAAAGAATTCCTTTGGGATATTTTCAGTTGAAATGATTCCTGCTTTAATAATACTAAATAACTATGAATAATTACTTAAGCATTAGATATAAGCTGATATGAAATAGATATTGAAACTTACAACTACTAAATTACAATTTAGAATAAATTTTATAAAGAATAATTTTTATTTACAATATTATGGCACTGCAAGATATACTATTATAACATATACACACTGAGTATAGATGTTCTCATAATAATTAACAATAATAAAAAATTTTGTAATTAAACACATTTTTAATTCTTACGTTGAAAAAATGAACTTGGTGAATGAATTGTTGATTTTATATTTCTTTGTGAAAGCTTTACATCCTGTGAAATTAGGATAAATAAGCCAAAAAAATAGCAAAAATTTTATTTTTTTTACAGTTATCATAAACAGGAATTAGGTAATTATTTAGTCCTTATTCATTACACATGGTGAGAGAGGGATAGTCATGTCCAAATTCAAACTGACACATTTTGTAGGTTGTAAGTAAAATTAGGTAAGAATTAAAATAAAAGTAAGGTCTGCAATTTGAACACAAACTCATTAAATTTTGCTGCAAAAATCAGCATAGTTCTATCTTTATTTCTTTTTACACAAAAGTATAAAAGCTCCATGTGTACTCCTCCTGTTACACAAAGAATACCTAAATGACATTTAATTTTCTGCCATCTATTCTGCAATATCTGTAGTATAACAAAAACAATAGTGTCCAGTATGTACAAAGATCATTGAGGTCATTGATTTTGGGATGTCAGCATAAACCCTGTCCTTCACATAACCCCAAAGTCTAGATATCATAATGTCACGATTGCAGGTATCATGGAATGCTACAATTACTTACTCCATGCATGTCAATTAATTCTATGGAAGACTTGCACAGTTACTGTTTCTTTTGTAACATTTTAAATTAATTTTTTTTATGCACTGAATTTTGGTAGTGTTGTAAAATATGTTTTACTAGCAGAGAGGTGATAACCAAATAAAAGGAAAAAAATTGTAATAGTTTAGAATAGAAGTTTGTTTAACTTTTTGCTTTTGAAGATGTAAGATGTTTATTATATATTAACTGAATTGTGCAAGTGGAAAGCATCTTGACCTAAAAAGTCCATTGTGCATCCACAAAAAGTTATTTTAGGAGTTTGCTCTCTGAAAATAATAGCAGATGCTTAAAAAAGAGATGGTACACATTATCTTGCTTAAGAAGAATGAATGTAAACAAATAAAAATGAATGAGTCTGTGAAAACAAAGAGCAGCACACTTTAAATAAGATGCAAATATCTCTTCAATAGGGTCATAGAAACAAGAAGCTTGAGGAATGTTTCAGTTGACATGAATGCTTGTAACATTGATTAAAATAAGTTACAATGCCAATCAAAAACTGTTCATTATACAGGGTGTTTATAAATGAATGGTGCAGTTTTAAAAATTAATAATAAATCTATTTATTACCTTATATGGGCAAACGTTACAGCATAAGTAACGGTAACTGTCCAAATTTTTTATGCATTAATCACAATTTTTCAATATGTGCACCCATGGTCACACGACACACATCTACATGGTAATCAAATTCTTTCCATACGCAGTGTAGCATGTCCTCCGTGATGGTCTGCAGTGCAATGCTTTATCTGATCACACAGTTCCTCAAGGGACACGGGCATTGACAATACATAAACTCGGTCAATGCCTGAGATTAAGGTAATAAATAGATTTATTATTAATTTTTAAAACCGCACCATTCATTTATAAACACCCTGTATATAGGAACTATGCAATGAAAGATCTCCAGATTGAAGAACTAATGATTAAAATTAATAAAGAAAATTCTCCTCATTACTTCTTCATTGGTAAATTGGTTTGAAAATATTAAAGTTATGTTCAAGAAAGATTTATTGAAATTATAATTTTCTGCTCTTCAATGTAAGAATATATGACATAAGAAAACTTTTATTATTTTTACTTTACTTATAATTATTAATTATTGTAAGTTAGTATATGTATAAAAATTCTTAGCCTATTAAATATACATTCAAAATGATCAGAATGAATATTAAAATTCTAATTTGTTTTTTAAGTTCATACTTCAAAAAGTGCATTCATTTTAAAATAAAGTTAATTATTACAACATTGTACTTTATACAATGTAATATTTTGTTTTGATTGACAGGATACAGAAGAACCAGATGAAGAAAGTGGATTAGCTTCTAAGAAAACAATAGAAACAATAAAATCTGTAAGAGATATTATTTCATTAATCAACACAAAAAATGTTAAAACATTATTTTACTTAATAAATATATTATTATTTAAAGGCAGAACAAATTATAGAAGCTCTTGACATATATACTGAAGAAACATCCAAGTATGAATTATATAAAAAAGAATGTGAAATTTCTAGAAAAGAGGTATTTATTATTTTCTATATAATTTCTTTTCATAATTTGAAATTAATTTTAAACAGAATTAAAACCCCTCATTAAATATATATGTATTTATAACTACTGTGTGTTGTTTTATATATTATGTATAAAACACACAGTTATAAATACAGTAGANAAATATTTTAAATCATTTTTTGTTTTGCACGTAAAGGGATTTATTTAATGATATTTAAATTCCTAGATTAAAGAAAACGAGCCGATTTACCGTTAAGAAAACGAGAATTTTAATCGAAGAAAATTAAATAATTTATTTTTCTAACTGATAAGTTATTGTTTCGGGAAGATAGAATACTTAGGGTTGTATGTAGAAAGTGATAAACAACTGCCTTCAACATTTCTCTATCGAAGTAATGGAGCGTGCGAGTCTACTGGCTCCAGATGTGGCAAACTGCCTTGATTTTTCCGGGCTAACTTTCACAATTAGATACAGTCTTCATATATAATAGATAATACTTTCTAATTTACACAGAATTACTTTTGAACAACACTTCGATACAAAAAACAAACAACTCCTCAAAAATGATAAAAATTACAAAGAGTCAGCAGTAAAAGTTTTCTTTGGAGAATTTGTCGAAAAGACAATTGCTTGTATAGAAAGAGAGGGCTGCATCTTTTGTAAGCAATCGTCTTTTCTTCGAAGATAGAAATCTATAAAAGCTAGAAACTCGGATAAAAGATTTACGGCAACATCAAAACTTGGTAGAATGTCTGTTGTAAGGGGAAAAAAATAATATTAGTCGGACTTAAAAAGATTGGCTCTTTTCTACACAAAATTTTTCTATGTGATGGCAACGATTTCTAGTGATTACAAGAAAGTCATTTGTGTCGTAAATCTGTGGAGTTCAATAATTTTTAAGCGAAACTAAAAGAAATGGCATTGAAAAACATGTCACTAAGCGTAACATAGTCCCAGACATCGAAAGTATAGGATGGCAATCCATTCTAATTTCTGCCTATTCTCTAGGGAGTAGCATTACAAGCAAAGAAACTAGATTCTGTTAAACCACAACATGTTCCTTTTTTCTTCGCTATCTCTTTCTTTATCGAGCATCTTTTCTTTCCAGGTACAGATGGGAAAAACTATCGGCCATCACTAAAAATGATTATTTTATAATAGTCATACAAAATTAATATAGCATAAATGCTCCAATTTAATAGATAGGAAAATCCTCCAGCTTTCTAACATGATCGCGTCAAAGCTAATCCGGATTTGTTTCCAAGCTTTGCTATCTGCACGATGCTCTGTGTAAACAGAACTTGATTAAATCGATATACAGTAAATGTTGTTAGTTATAGAATTAGTCAATTCTATGACACGACTAATACCATAAATCTCAACTATTTAATCGCCAATAATTAAGAGTTATATTTTAATTGATATATATTCTCGCTCCGAAAATAACCTTCAGCTTAATATATATTAAGCATATGGATCTTCGTTATAAAGGATTAGGCGTTGAGTAATTAAATCGCATAACCTATAATTATAGTTGATATTACTGTTATGTAGGTTAACATCGTGTATACTACGACTATGATTAATTGTTATTAAAAGCCGTATAAAAATTGTAATTATTAACTTATTGCTTGCTTTGAAAAATAGTTGTTTTTATTGTAAGCCAAGAGAAAAATATTTAATCATATTTTCATCTTTCTCAACGCGGCACGTCCTGTTTTTAATTTTTAATAGCATTTAAAATATATGAACCTTATGCGTTAGAAAATAAAATGTTTAGTCATTTATATTATAAAAAATGTAATCTTTAATTCTGTAATTAAATATTAGTAGAAAATCCAGTATCAATATTAAGTTGGGATATATGTTTTACGTCTGAAGCAGCAGGTAAATTCTCACAAATACCAAAAATATTTGTTCTTCCTCTTGGAATTTTCCTTTCTTCTTCGTCTTCTTTTTTTTAACCTTCCGATATTCTACTTTTTTCTGGAAGTTGTTTCGATCGCATATTTTCTACTCGACAAATATGAAAAACTTTTTCAAAAACTTCACGCATTATCTAGCCATCAATCGAACCGTTTGTATATATACATCAAATTCAAAGCGAATCGCGCTATTCATCTTAAATTAATTTAGATATTAAATTTTATTTATTTTCTGGCTTGTTTCATCATCATATTTTCATCGGTAAGAAGTATTTGTTTCCTTCTTGTTTTTTTTTTTTATTGCATTATGAAGTGAAATATAATACATTTTTTCGTTTACTTTATCCCCAGGTAATCGTTATAACTTATGGCGCGAACTTATCGCATTTACTCGAGTTTCAAACCAATATAATTGGTATAAGTCATCGAACAACATTATGTTGTTAACGTAATATTGGTAAATATTGTTAGTATCAGCAACATGACAGGAAATACAAAATCAATAGCGGAGTAATGGCCAGAAGTCGACCAATTATAAAACGAGGATATTTATCATAATCCACACTATTCAAAACTTTCCTTTGAGGCATTTTGAATAATTTTCTTGTTGCAAAGCTATCCTCACGAAAGCTGGGAAATTCTTAGATTACCAGCAATGCTCTCAAGCAGTACAAGCAATGGGAGGAGTAATGATTTCACTATGTAATTGGTTCTGTTCGGTTCTGATGGTTACATCCAGTTTGTTGAATTTTAAAAACGAATAATAAGCTTAGCATATTTTCGAAAGAATATTCAATTTGTATAAAACTTCGATTCTTTTTTTTTATATTTTTTTTACATTATCCACTTATTATTTTTTTTTCTTAATGGCGGAAAATTGGAATTAATAATTCATCTGAGTAAATTATCATTTGAATTATTATAATTTAGAAAATAATTATGACGACAATTTCCGATTATAATAACTTAAATGCATTAATATTGATAAATGTACGATTATAAAATTTATTTATATCGTTTAAACGTAAAATTCTATGTTCGAGAAACGTGTAAGAGATAATTGTTCACCATTAGCATATCAACAAATACAGTCAAATTAGCAAATATTGAATGATAAATATGTACAGTACTGTACATATAATTCGACATTTCATTATGTATTTAATAAAATATTTTATTTATAATAATCAATTGTGTAAATCTCTTTCAGACAGTGGAAGTCAAATGAATATGAGAGGTGTATTCTTACATATTCTTGCNCTGGCTATCTTGATGGTCGAAAACAACAATGCCTCTTCTAATCCGGTGTCATAGTTTGGTGACAAATTGCTCCTCCCTTATACGTTCGTCAATCTTTTATCCCTTCGTTTAAGCTGGTAAATGTGCAACGCTAGGGGCGAACCATTCACTCTCGGATATCCTCCGTTTCCGTCCAATCTGCTCCTTTCCGTTTTATTTTTTTGAACTTTACGTTGTAGAGTGTTCTTTTTTCTTCTCTCGCGCTCTTGTTTTTCTCCTTTGGAGCCGGGAAAAAATCATCATATTAAATTATTCAGTAAAGGTTCCTCCAAACTGTTGCCAATTTTACTTTAATTATACTTTCTAAAAGTATAATAAAATTAGTTTTATGCAGTGGATGGATTTTTAATAATGAAAAGAGGATCTTCTCCAAAATCAGCTAACAACTGGCTTATGTTTTAATAAAAAGAGTCGTCAATAATTTAATAATAAATCTGTTTTTGTTAGTAATTTTCATAATGCTTCTCTTAATGCTGCATTAAGAACTTTTGTCGCATTAATTTAAAATCCTGAGAAAGAGAAAATGAGGTTAAATAGTTAATTATCTATATACTTGTTATCAAGTATATAGGTAATTAACTCATTTTCTCTATGCAAACAAAGATTTGAATGAAATTATGATCACATTTTGTGATAAATTACAACCAAAGAATATCTTATTATCTTTAAACGTTTCTAATTATCAATTATAACTGGGATTACGCAAAATTTCACAGAAAGTAAAAATTAATGTTCAACCTTGTACATATTAATGATAAATAAATAACAAAATATAAATAAACTCAAAACGAATGAGTGTATTGATTTTCTTGCAAACGTCTTATTATAATGGCTTATCAATCAAGCTGAAGTGATTTATGAAGTAAATTTAATGAAAAATAAATAAATTTTATTAAAATGAAGAATTAAAATCATTATTTCCAGTAATTCCGAATTAAATGAGTATTGCTACAACTCAATACTCCAGTCAAATTTTTACGATTCGCTTCACTTTAACAATTTTCTGCGTATCTAGATAAAATTGAAATTAAATTAAACAAATTGGAACATTAATGATTAAAAAAATACGAAGGAATTTCATCCGAGAGAAAATAACAAAATGAAGGGAAACGTAAATGACATCTGTATTTCTTCAAAAAAAGAAGAAAAAAAAATGTTATTGAACTTTATTGAATAAAAAATTTAATGTATTTTGGTGTTTATAATTGTTGTTTAATAATTAATCACGTATTCTCTAGTGAGTTTTATGTTTAATGTTTACATTTTTATCTTATTAAAATCTTTTATTTTAGAAATGCTTTCAATCTTTATTTGTCTTACTGCTTTACGGTTGATATACTCCAGTATTAAAATTAGTAGCACTAGGCAGTGCGGCATATACCTAGGAGGCCCGAAATTGGAACAAAAATTAAGCAATTTTATCGTTGCAATTGTATATTTTATAGATAATTATATAGCTTCGATTAGACGTTATTAGTTTATGAGGTAAAATTAGGGTCCCAGAAAGTGTAAAATTATATAGAACTCCAGAAGATCTTAATCCATTACTGATTAATAAAAAAACATCTTATATAAATATACACATTGAAACATAAAAAACATTTTAAAAATAGATGTAAGCTTTGTTACATTGATTTTAAAAACAAATTTCCTTTTAAAATAAAATGGTTATATTGAAGTTAGGTTCTTCGAGTAAGTAATTTACTCAATTGAAACTGTGACCTATAATGTATCTCTTGTCACTATGATATATATATATTCTTTTTGCAAGAATTATTTTGAAAGAAATAATTTAAT